AAATAATAAATCTTTCTTATTTGAGTAATGCTTGTTTTTATGTGACTTTACAATGATTATATATATCATTCTTCCTTGACTAAAGCTGTTTGGAATAAGTGATTGTATTATAATTACATAACATTCGTGTCTGACTAATGCTTGTCTGAAGATCATTGTACAATGACTACTGAAAAATTCTTCTTTGATTAACGTTGTGTTTGAATCTAAATTAATTACAAAACGTTCTTCCTTGAGTGATGTTGTGTTTGAATGTGACTGTGGAACAATTATTTAACTTTGTTCTTGTGTTTGAATGTGACTGTGGAACAATTATTTAGCTTTGTTCTTGTGTTTGAATGTGACTGTGGAACAATTACTTAACTTTGTTCTTGTGTTTGAATGTGACTGTGGAACAATTATTTAACCTTGTTCTTGTGTTTGAATGTGACTGTGGAACAATTAATTAACTTTGTTCTTGTGTTTGAATGTGACTGTGGAACAATTATTTAACTTTGTTCTTGTGTTTGAATGTGACTGTGGAACAATTAATTAACTTTGTTCTTGTGTTTGAATGTGACTGTGGAACAATTATTTAACTTTGTTCTTGTGTTTGAATGTGACTTTACAATAATTATACAACATTTTTCTCTGATTAACGTGTGCTTGAATGTAACCTCACAATGGTTGTATAACATTGTTTCTTGACGAATCTGTGTTTGAATGTGATTTTACAATAATTATATTGCATTCTTCCATCACTAATGCATGCTTGAATGTGACCGCATAATAATCATGTAACTTTCTTCTACAACTGATACTTGTTTTATTGTCACAATACAATTATTATATAACATTTTTCTTTGATAAATGCTATGGTGGAATGTGACTGTTCAATAAAAATATAACACTTTTCCTCCAATACAGCTGTATTTCAATCTGACGGTATGTTGTATAATAATTATATAATATTCTCCCTTGCCTAACGCCTGTTGTGTGTTTGAGTTTGACTGTACAAGACTTATAAATTGTTTGTTTGTTGTTAAGCATAAATGTAAACAATGGACTCTCTGTGACCTGCTCAACGCGGGTAATGAAACTCGGTTTTTAGCGTTATAAGCCATGAGACTTACCACTGATTCACTAGAGGGCCAATAATTGTATAACTTTCTTTAATGGCAAACTCTATGTTTGTATGTGACTGTATAATAATTACATAAAATTCTTCTATGACTAATGTTTGTTTGAATTATACTTTACAATAATTATATAAAATTTTCCTTTAACTAATAGTTGTTTGTTTGTGACTGTACAATAATTATCTAACATTCGTATTTGACTAATCCTTGTTTGAAGATCAGTGTACAAGAACTATCCTTGAGTAACGCTGTGTTTGAATCTGACTGTACAATAATAATGTTACATTCTTTCCTGATTTGCACTGTATTGAGTGTGATTGTAGAACAATTATGTGACATTCTTCCTTGAGTGATGTTGTGTTTGAATGTAAATGTACGAGAGTTATATAATATTCTATCCTGGCAAATGTTTGTTTGAATATGAATGTAGTATAATTATATAACATTTTTCTTTCACTAATGCTTGTTCGAATTAGATTGTACAGTAATTATATAACATTCTTCCTTTATTAATGTTTGTTTGAATTAGATTGTAAAATAATTAATTAACATTCTTCCTTTATTAACGTTTCTTTGAATTAGATTGTACAATAATTATATAACATTTTCCTTTATTGATGTTTGTTTGAATTAGATTGTACAATAATTATATAACATTTTCCTTTATTAATGTTTGTTTGAATTATATTGTACAATAATTAATTAACGATCTTCCTTGACTAATACAATAATTACATAACATTCTTCCTTTATTAATGTTCATTTGAATATGTGTGTACAATAATTAATTAACAATCTTCCTTTATTAATACTTGTTTTAAAGTGGCTGTAAAATAATTATATAATATTACTTGGCTAATGCTTGTTTGAATGTGACTACACAATAATTATACAACATTTTTCATTAACTATGCATGTTCCAGTGTGACAATACAATAATTATATATCATTCTTCCTTGATTTGTTCTTCTTTGAATGTGTTTGTAGAATTATTGGTACTTGTTGGAACTTGTTCTTTAACTAATGCTGTATTTGAATTTGATTGTACAATAATTGTATTATATTCTCACTTGGGTAATGTTTGTTTGAATGAGATTTTACAAGAATTATATAACATTCTTACTTGACTGATGCTTTCTTCAATTTGGCTATACAATGAGTATATAATATTCTTCCTTTACTAATGGCAGTTTGAATGTTAATGTACAATATTTATATAATATATTTCCATGACTAATGCTTATTTGTTCTACGACTGTACAATATTTTTTTTAAGTATAACGGTACTCAATGAGATAGCTATCTGTACTCTGCCTATACCATGCTAATCTAAACCCCGTTTTTAGCTTTATAAGCCCTGAGACTTACTACTGATAATAATTGTATAAATATTTTTCCTGACTTTCGTTGAATTTGGAAGTGACTGTATTATAATCGTATAATATTTGTATTCGACCAAGGCTTGCTTGAACATTAATGTACAATAACCGTACATTTTTCTTGTTTGACTAACAACGTTTCATCTGATTGTATAATAATTACGTGACATTATTTCCTGATTAACGCTTTGTTTGAGTGTGGGATTACAATGATTATATAGCATTCTTTGTTGATAGTGTTTGTTTTAATGTGACCGTACAATAATTATATAACATTCTTCCTTGGAATATGCTTATTTTGACAGTGACCGAAGTAATTCATGTTTTTATCACATAAACCTGTAGTTATGGGAGTGTTTAATATTAATTTTTTGTCTATTTAAGTCCGTCTAGTGCATAAATACTTTTCTCCAATATAATACTCCAATAAAGATTTGTTTTAACGTTCATTTCAAAATTCGACATGGAGGTAACAGTAGTGTGGATAAGGCTAACACCGCCAGTTGGTATTCTATACATCTAATACCTTGGAAGAAGTTAGTTCTGTAAGGAATAATATTTGCATGTCGTATATCTGTTTCACTTAGGAACAAAATTATTAAGACCAATGTAACTAGCATTTCGTAATTGATGAATTGCATAGACAATGGGTTCGGGGCGCTTCTGAGAGGATAGCGTTAGATTACGCTGAATAATAAATACGTTGCATGTTGTAAAACGCAGCTTTTTCTATCCATGATGCTTTATTTACGGAATCGAAGTTACTTGTTGTTGTCGTTTATGTTTTCAATATGGTGCCGTCACGTTCCAATGTATTATAATTCTCACGTAAGATTAGATTTTTTTAGGTACAACCTGCAAGAGGAACTTAACTTAGTGTGATTATGGTAGTTGCATCATAAAGTGACTCATTTACGTTGAATGTTAACTGTAAATTGACAAACCTCTAGAATCAGTAGCTCTTTTTCGACAGCGGCCATAAGAGGAGGATAAACTCTCCCCGGATACAATCGCTCACGGACACCGGCATGTTCTTCTAGTTTTATGAGGAGGATAAACTCTCCCCGGATACAATTGCTTACGAACAACGGCATGTTATTCTAGTTTTAAGAGGAGGATGAACTCCCCCCGGATACAATCGCTCACGGACATCGGCATGTTCCTCTAGTTTTTCTCTCAGCTAGAAAAGGAATATCGCTAGGTCTATATAACCGGAGCTATTAAACTCTCTTACCCAAGCAGTGTATTTTGTAAGGAATAATATAATACTCAACAAAGAAAAATGTTACAATTACTCTTATTTCAGATGAACGTTTATTTCTGTTTATTTTGTATATATGTAGCAGGAAGTAATTATAAGTCCAGTTTCTCCAAAGTTGGGATTGATTACTTGCGAATGAAACGACCATTTTCCACCCTTTTCTCATCCGTCTTTTTGAAAAATTAGATTAGCTTTGAATCATATATATGAATGTATTTTACTGGATTGTGATTAGCACTAATAATGAAAGTTCCACATTTGTTCACAGTCAACAATGTAGTATTTGTTGTTATCAAATATCAAGCTAATCAGCTTTAAAAATTAAGCTTTTTAATTCTACATACAGATTTAATTAAACTCAACAACGTATAATGCGAAACGTTAGATTGGACTTTTTAAGTGTAATTTAATTTTTTTACTCCCCGGTGACCTGTTATAGTAAAATGGTTAACTTAGGTAACGTTTTATTTACAATTCATTAATCTCTGGCAACGTGTTATAGCATTTCTTAATCTTTGATGATAGGTGATACACAATTTTTAATCCCCGATGACAAGTTATACACGATATTTAATTCAAGGTGACGTGTTACTTAAATTATTCTTAACTTTTTATAACATTTATATGAAATGTCGTATTTCTGGCGATGTGTTATATAAATTTCTGTAACTCCTAGCAAAGTGTTACATAAAATATTTTATCCTCTGGTGATGTGTTATGCAAAATTTCTCAACCTTCGTGACAAGTTATATAAAAGTTTTTAATCTCTGGCAACATATTATATAATTTTTTTAACGTCTGACAACGTGAGGTACAAAATTTAACCAATGGCGACAAGTTATTTAAAAGTTTTTAATCTCTGGCAACGTGTTATATAATATCTCTTAACCTCTAGTGACGTATTATATAAAATTTCTTAACCTCTAGCGACGTATTATATAAAATTTCTTTAGCTCTGGTGGCGTGTTATCTAAACTTGTTAACCTCTAGTGATGTGTTGTATAAACTTTCTTAACCTATGGCGACGTGTTATATAAAATTTCTTAACCTCTAGCGACATGTTATATAAAATTCCTTAACCTCTAATGACGTATTATATAAAATTTCTTTAGCTCTGGTGGCGTGTTATCTAAACTTCTTAACCTTTAGTGATGTGTTGTATAAACTTTCTTAACCTATGGCGACGTGTTAAACAAACTTTTTAACTTCTGGTAACGTGTTTGTAGGATCTAGACCAACAACATGAAAGAAAAATCGAAAAACGCAGCCAGGTCAAGGAGGGAAAAGGAGAACGCTGAGTTCTTGGAATTGGCCAAGATGCTTCCTCTGCCTGCAGCTATTACAAACCAGCTGGACAAGGCGTCAATTATAAGACTGACCACTTCCTACTTAAAGATGAGAGCTTTGTTTCCTGACGGTAAGAACCAGTGAATGTCATTACTAGGGTTTCAATATAGTTCACATAACTCGCACTGTTAAAATTTCAAGGGAAAACATTCATTTTCTTTGGCATGATGAATCTGTTGCTAGGAAAGGGTTTTCACACCAGAAGAGCAGTGACAGCGGTTCAATTTATCTGTTGATAGAGTTCCAGTAACACTATAATTGATGATAACTACTTTGTTTATCCATTAATAGAACCCCGGAATAAGAATGATTAATTGTAATTACGTGATTTATCTATCAACAGATTTCTAGTACGAGAACAAATAGTGACAGTAGCTCAATTTGTTTTTTTCAGAGAATCCCAATTCAGAAACAGTTGGGACAGGGGTTTAATATCTTATTAACAGATTCGTTGCACAAGAGCAATAACGATCAGTAAATAATGGGAGAATGGCAGTTCTTGAATTTTCTGTTAATAAAATCCAATTATAGGCAGAATTAGTTATTGTAGTTTAATAGGTTACGAGCTTGATTTTCCAGGATAATTAAGGTAATTACTTAGTAGTTGTCTTTAAACAGAATCCAACAGAAGAATAAGCAATGTATTGTATTGTGGCTTCTTAAAGGATCTTGATATGATATAAAAATCAATGAGAATGAATTAATTTTACAATTCGTAAAGTCCTATTTAATTAACATACTTTTTGTAAAAGCCCAGTATAACGAAACAATATTTTGCAATGAACCAACTGCTAGTAGAAAACCCGAACAAGGAAGATCCATGATTAATTTTTCCATGTAATATTCTACTGTACTAAGACGATTCATTATAATTAATTAACTGGTAGTAAAACTCTCCTGAACCAGGAAAATCCATCGTTGAATTTCCATGTAGGATTCCACTGTACCAAGACGATCATTTAGAATTAATTAACTACTAGTAGAATTCTTGAACTATAAAAATCCACGTTTAACTTCTTCATGAAGGTGTCCATTGTATCAAACTATTCATTATAATAAATTAACTGCTAGTAGAACTTTTGAATCAGGAAAATCCATCGTTGACCTTTTCGTGTAGGATTTCACTGTACCAAGAAGATCAGTTAGAATTAACTAACTACTAGTAGAATTCTTGAACTATAAAAATCCACGTTTAACTTCTTCATGAAGGTGTCCATTGTATCAAACTATTCATTATAATAAATTAACTGCTAGTAGAACTTTTGAATCAGAAAAATCCATCGTTGACTTTCTCGTGTAGGATTTCACTGTACCAAGAAGATATTTTAGAATTAATTAACTGGTAGTAAAACTCTCCTGAACCAGGAAAATCCATCGTTGAATTTCCATGTAGGATTCCACTGTACCAAGACGATCAATTAGAATTAATTAACTACTAGTAGAATTCTTGAACTACAAAAATCCACGTTTAACTTCTTCATGAAGGTGTCCATTGTATCAAACTATTCATTATAATAAATTAACTGCTAGTAGAACTTTTGAATCAGGAAAATCCATCGTTGACTTTTTTCGTGTAGGATTTCACTGTACCAAGAAGATATTTTAGAATTAATTAACTGCTAGAAGAATTCTTGAACCAGAAAAATCCATGTTTAACTTCTCCGTGTAGGATTCCATTGTACAAAGATGATCCATTAGATTTCCGAATTATAAAAGTCCTGTTTAACTTACTTTTTTTGACAGTAAATTAAAACTATTTAGCTGCCATTAGATTTAGTGTTTCCCCAGTATATGAAAAGTTATCTTATAGAACTGTTAATTATATTATTATCGCAACTTATGGTTCTTATGGCAAGATTTTCAGCAGTGAACTTTAATAACATTTCAGAAATATCTTACAACTCTCGCTCTGCAGTGGTTGGTAAAAGATACTATCTCGGATTCCGTCTTTTTGAGTCAGAAGAAACCTTTCAGATGTTAGTAACGAATATTCTTTTTTGTCTAGAATCAAAGTACAAATAAACTCTGTCGCCGATTCTTTGCTACATACGGACGCTCAGTTTAGAAGCACCGAAATTTCGTTGGCGAAATGTAGGAAGCCTACAAACGCGGTTTCTTTTACCAGATCAAAGGCAATTTTACAAACGCTAGTGCTCTATACAAACCGAATAAAAAACGATGTATATAAAAGCACAAACAATGACGCACGTGCTTGTCTGAAATCGTCAATGAATGACTCTGTTACTGGCAAAATGAGACTAGGATCAAACCTTGACACTGCCTCTCTTTACGAACAACCCGCAGCGACAGTTCTAGGGCCGAAAGGTCGAGTAATTCAAGTAATGTCGAATGCCGAGGAAATTGGCTTCGTTTAGCGAGAGCCCGAGTTAGAGCACGCCCCAGGTTGACGCTGGGACTAGCGGACTGGTGCGTACGGACAAAGCAGCTGTACGGGATACACGCCAGAGAAGATTGAAGTCTATGATACAAAACAGAAAGGCCACTAAAAACGTTCAGATTCGCTAAGAATATAGATTTATCACCCCCCCCCCAGGTAATAATGATTTATAATCAGATAAAAATGTAGATTCAGAAAAAGAAATGGCGTACATATTGCTATGTTTAGTATGGTTTGTTCTCTATAAATTTCATTGAAGTTTATCACCATTCAGATCGTTGTGAAGATATTATCATGTTGATTATGTGAAGAGACTGGATCATGCTGGTAGAAGCTCATGCGGGACTATTGCTTTAAATATAGATAGTGGTTTACTGTCTCTTTACACAGAATTTACGAACACAATACTTAAGTTGAAGTTTATATAGTCTGGTTTCATGTTTATTTTGAGTAAACTTGGTTTAATAGACGTTCTATTTTTCTTTCTTTTCCTACCTTTATTTTTTATTCCAAGAATTAGAGACACACGCTTTAGGATATATGCATTTAAAACTTTCCGAAATGCACGTTCAATTATTCACAATCCCTGGACTATAAAATTGAATACCCTAAAATAAAAAAGATATCGATAACCTTCTTCAAGCCGAGTTTCAACTAATCTCAAGCGTATGTTTTAACCTTCATTCATCTCCAGTACATTACCACAAGAATTTAGGTTTAAAACATCTCCAAAAGTGGAGTTACGTGAGACATTCTTAAAGTTAACATTTTAGTGTTCTCTTTTTTCATGGTGTTAAACCTTCTCCTTAGATAATACTATAACCTAGTAGATACCTTTCTATAGTGGATATGTTAAAAATATTTTCCTTGACTTATGCTTGACTCAATGTGACTGTACAATTAATCATATAACATTCACCCTTGATTATCAATTCCCCATAACTGTAGATACATTTCTAAAAGTATATATTTTAGTATCCTACTTTAATAGCGTTAAACGTTCTTCCTTAACACTTTTCCACACCTAGAGATATATATATTTCTAAAGTGCATAATTCAGTGTATATACATATTTAAAATGTATACTTCAGTGTCCTACTTTTCATAGCGTTAAACATTATTGCTTAACAGTTTCTATATCTATAGAAACATTTTTTAAATGTTTATTTGAGTGTCATACTTTTAACGGCGTTAAACGTTCTTGTTTAATAGTTCGATATACTTGTAGATATCTTTCTAAAGTTCTTGCTTAACAGTTTCCTATATCAGTAGATATATTTCTGAAGTGTGTATATTAGTGTCCTACATTTCATAGCGTTAAACGTTCTTGCTTATCAGTTTTATATACCTGTAAATACATTTCTAAAGTGTATAATTTAGTCTCCTAATTTTCATTGCGTTAAACGTTCTTTCTTAACAGTTCTTTCTAAAGTATGTATTTTAGACTTCTTCCTTGACTTATGCTTGTTTGAATGTGAATGTATAATCAATTATATAAGATTCTTCCTTTATCAATAATTGTGTATACCTGTAGATACATTTCTAAAGTGTATATTTTACAGTCGCATTATTCACGGCCTTTCTAGTTCTTGCTTAAGAGTCTTCTATGCCTGTAAACATATTTCTTATGTGTATGTTTTAGTGTTCTGCTTTTCATGGTGTTAAACATTTTTACTTAACAGTTTTATATATGTACACTAACATTTCTAACGTGTATATCTTAGTGTCCTACTTCTGATGGGGTTAAATGTTCCTGCTTAAAAGTTTTCTGTAACTGTAGATACATTTCTGAGGTGTATATTTTAATGTCCTAATTTTCGTGGCGTTAAACCTTCTTTCCTAACAGTTCTATGTAGGTTTATAAAGTGTATATCTTAGGGTTCTTCCTTGACTTATGCTTGTTTGAATGTGACTGTACATAACATTCTTCCTTGATCAGAAATTGGATATACTTGTAGATACATTTTTAGAGTGTATATTTTATTGTACCAATATTCAGCCCCCCAGTGGCGGACTTACAACGCTAGAATCCGGGTTTCGATACGCGTGGTGGGGAGAGCACAGATAGCCCATTGTGTAGCTTTTTGCTTAATTACAAACAATACAGTACAATACCAATATTCAACTGGTTTAACGTTCTTACTTAACAGTTTTCTATCATTGTAGGTACATTTTAAAATTGTATATCTAAGTGTCCTGCTTTTCATGGTGTTAAACGTTCTCACTTAACGGTTTTCTAAACCTGAAGATGAATTTCTAATGTGTAGGTTTTAATGTTATTGTTTTCATGGCGTTAAAAGTTCTGCTTAATTGTTTTCTACACCTATAGGTATATTTCTAAAATGTATATTTTAATGTCCCTCTTTTCCTGGCGTTTTATGTTTTTGATTAACAGTTTTCTATTTCTATAGATTTATTTCTAAGTTTATATCTTAGTATCCTAATTTTCTTGGCGTTAAACATTCTTGTTTAATAGTTTACCATACCTGTACATACATTTATAAAGTGAATATTTACTGTCCTACTTTTAATGGGGTTAAATGTTCCTGCTTAACAGTTTTTCTATCCCTATATATTTATTTATAATGTGTGTATATATAAAGTGTCCTACTTTTAATGGAGTTAAATCTACCTAAAGTCTAAATTTTACGGTTCTGTTATAGTTTTCTGTA